TTGAACTAAACTTTATTCAACGTGATTGACTATATTGAGAGAGTGAACCTGTTTAGGCCTAGGTAATCTAATGCCCTGCACCAGTAAAGTGACCAGTCATGGAGGTGTTGTCTTGTTGTTTGCTGTGTGTGTTTGCTTCCTCTACCCGTTTCTCCAGCGTTCACTGATGTCTTCTCCTCAACCCATCATCGAACGAAGGGGGGATATGTAGCAACAACGAGAATGCAACCCACACGAGGGAAGCGTTCGTACATAATCAAACACAAGGGGCTGCATATTCCAAATTATCCCTGAGGCTATGAGCCAAGAAGACCTTTTGTTGCCTAACTAAAGGAAGGACGTTGTCAATGTTTTATAATTTGGCAAGAACAGATCTGTTCAGAAATGGTGAAACAAGAGGCCCTAACAAGGAGTCACCTGACCCCTGCGACTAAACAGACTGAACCATTCAGCGTCCCGAGCTAGTTTTCCCCTCATCAATTATTACACCTCCTTAAGGCTGAAAAAGTGGACTTGCATACAAAATACCCTTTGTCTTGAAGACAGCCATTTGCGAAACTAAACCCTCACGTGGTACACACCACGGATGCACAAATGCTGACCATAAGGATACCCACACACACACACACATAAGGACTTTCCTCCAATTCTCCAATACCAATAAAACTCATCCCAATACAATTCTTGACTGACCCAGAATCAAAATCATGTAACATAACAATTATATATTGTGTTTACAACCCCTGTATGTGTCTATTCTGCTTAGATCACATCTAAGTCATGTAATTGTTTTAATTATTAGAGATACTGGAATGAAAGTGTCGTGTTTCCTATCATTATGCTCGTATGTGTTTAATTCAAAAGATGGCTTGATTGAAATCTGTGTAAAAATGTTTATGTTCTTAAAATGGAAATTATGTCTAAACTGAATCCTATGTTCAAGCTGATGAGTAAGCAGACCACAGAGAGCACATGATTCACGATGAGAGAAGGGGGGGGGGGGGGGGGGGGATAGAATAGACCCCCTTTTCAAATAACCATATAGTATCTTATTGTCCGAATTCCAAATTCCTCCTGGAGGCGGGACAAACATTTTGAGTTTAAAATCTTAGACCCGAACACAGAATCTTTCTCTGGTGACTCTCTCTTGTGATGCCCGACGATGGTTATAGTAACCATGTAGACGCAGAGACAAATGACCCAAATCAAGATATGGGTTAAAACAGATTTAATTGAAGCCATCTCGTCTCACTTTTCTTTCTTTTCTTAGTTTCTTTCTTTTCCGTTAAAAGTCTCGGTTCTAAGTTAAGTGTTGCTGCAAAGTAGGGGTGTCCCCGACTAAGGATTTTCATAGTCGAATCAGATTCGTCAAGTCCTGCCTATAGTCGACTAATAGTCGAATCATGTGTGTGTTGTTGGGGAGGGGGCGGGGCTTTAACATTTTAAAGCCGCGATGTACAGAACATCACATAAAGATATAGAAGAAAATGTATAAAAACATTTTGGATCAATAAAACTAAGAAATAACATACATAACTGCAGAAAGGCCACACTGCAGATAGGATTTGCATTTCACATGCAAATCAAATTAAATCGGCTGAATTGCCTGTACGAGCATGTTCTAAGTAGGCCTACAGCGCAACATCGATGCACTGAAAAATAATCAACAATTAAGAACACAATATAGGCCTACATTTTTAATAAATAAAAATACAAAACGAAATAAGTCAGAATCAAGTCACAAGAAGCAGAACAAATGTGTGCAAAATGCCTAAAGTGCAGGGGAACAAATATTCAAAACACAAGTCACAAATAGTTAAATTAGATCACCCTGAGTGATCAATTAATAAAATAAAAATAAAGAAATTATTAAAATAACGAAAGTATGGCCAGGATTGTCAACTTTGTCTTTTTAACTGCAGAAACAACAATAAACGCTAAACTGGAGCGGCAGTCTTTTTAGCTAAACATGTTCACAGTATCCAAAAATCAAATTAGAACCGGCTGAAATGTTTTGAAATCACTTGTACCCTACCCATACCTGATCGAGAAAACAAAATCCAGTCTTTCACTCGGCCTGTGTCCGTTTGAGTCTTTTCAAATTGTGTGCGCGGATAAAATACATTCTAAAACGCTTAACGGCTTTGTCCTAAAACTGTTATATTAAAAGATCAAATTCTATTCTGTACACACCTTATTAATAAAGCATAGCCTACTATATAGCCTACAGAAAAGCAGATGAGCCCAGAATATGAACGCAACGCGTTTTATTACGTTAAGCATTTTCCTCCCATAGAAACGCGTTAAAGAAAAAGCTTTACGTGACTTTCTATAGGAGAAACGCGTTGCGTTCATATTCTGGGTTCATCTGCTTATCTGCACATGGAATGGTTTCTTAAGGTGTGTAGCCTACTGTGTACATACATTAAGCACGTTAAAGTGCCATTTAAGCGTTTTAAAAGCTTTTTTCACGTTAAGCGTTTTGGAACGTCCCGAGGAAAACCAACCTGTTAAAGTTGGCCGGCAGAAGTGCGATCATGGTTTTCCTGATGCTTAATCCAGCCTTGGAGAATATCCAGTTTCTGATGGTGTGCATCTTTAGATTTTCTTATCCCAGACATTTTTAAAGATTTAAATCCCTGCCGACAAGACGCTCCTCTGTCGGTCACGGATCGAAAGTGAAACTTAAATCTGTCACGGCCCGGGGTGTTTGGATTTATTCACGCTGCACGGTCGTTAAAAAATATTTATTAAAAGCTTCTTTCTTTGCACATTTTTATTGACAGCATTATCATAATAGGCTGTATATTAACGTATTGACAGAAAACCAGTAGTTCTATGTGAAATCAAACATTGAGCACACTCATATAGCCAAAATGGCATAATCCTCGTTTAATAACACATCTGCGAAGATTCGACCATGAGATTGGTAGTCGAATCAGGCTCCTCCTATCGAAGCATCGAATCTTCGACTATTCGGGGTCACCCCTACTGCAAAGTTTCGTTTTAACGTTTCAACTGCAAAACCAGCTTTCAACTTCAAAGACTTTCATTCATCCGCGCCAACACACCACGTGACTGGCTGTCCAAAGTCTATCCAGGCACACGAGAAGATCAGCCAAGCAACGGACCGGGGAACGCCTTCACACCGACAAAAGGGAATCCTCAAAAGCAAAGCAAGGACAAGCAAGTACCTCCAGACTTGAAACTGCAGGTGCATTTTAATATCAAATTGAATTACCCGCCTAAGAAACGATAAAAGGGTGAAATTAATTATTGATGGTTCGTTCAGGTCATGTCTTTTAAGTGCATATAGAAACTTGGGATCTCACCATCTAACTCCTAAAACTCATTCTTCCTCACTCTCTGTCTTTCTTCAACTTGTATGAATGCGTGTGCGTGTGTTTGTGTTAGATATTTGTTTTGTGTGTTAGCCATAGGCTTATAATCAATAAAGTATTGTTTGTATTTGAAAAGAGAAGCATTACTTGTGATATGTGCTTACCGATTTATTGTCTTGAACTTCGATCTAAGTTACCTATGCTTTGACCCTTGATTTATTTCTTAATTTAGCTGTTAGCTGGGAATTAGTCTTTCTTGGCCAAGAAGATATTATATTTCCTAGAATTAATAATTGTTTATGCTTTCCGTTCATTGGATGAACTGATAAACTGATCATACTATTGATTTTGCTACAGTAAATTCTGAAAATAATTCAATTATTAATAATTGATCATAATCCGTTATGAATAATAATTAATTATATTTATACGTGCGTATAATCGCTACAATATAAAACGTTTACGTGCAAATTTTCTTAATTTATTTCCCTGGCGTCGAAATCAGGCACATATAAATGTCAGGAAACACGATTCCTGCCTGCATGTCAATATCCATGGATCACTGGATCTTTGATAAGTTGTAAGGAACACTATATCGAGTCCAACTTTTAGTTTAAACTGATAATAGTTTGTTTTACTCGCGTTTTCGCAGTTTCCCCTATTAACTCCAGTCATGCAGCAGCTCTTTTACCACTCAGTCCGGCTGAGGGGGGCGTGTTCCGGCGGGGAAGTGACGTTAATGCATTCCCTCTATACTGATAAATTCTCTTCTTAGTGGACAAGACTGCAAGTAAGTTTATTACATTCTCCATTAAAGTAAGTTGTAATTATGAAGAGCTTCATATTGTATATTAAGCGATATTTAAATGTGAAGTTACAGAAGGCTGTTCTTCTGCTACTCCGAACAGAAGAAGAATCTGCCAGAAATTACAATCTTTTGCAGTTAAAACACAAAAAGGTTTATTGATAAAGGGTTATTGAAAACAAATATGTTTCTGAAATTTTTCTCCCATTTCCTCTTCCGTGTTAGGCTGTTGTTTTTGTGATGTGAAATCGAAAGTATTTTTGAAGCAGACATTTACAGTAGACAGACAGATGAAGCCTAACGTCAATCAACAACAATCTGATATTATATATATTTTAGTTCATATATAGCAATTATGATTAGTAGTTATACAGTATGTCTATTATAATTCAGGTTACTTTTACTCAATCAGTTATTTTAGGATCATTTGAAAGTAATGATATCAACCATCATTGTGAACTTGAAGTAATGATTAAATGACAAATGTGATTGTAAAATGATTATATACTGTAATAGAGAATATAACAAATTGGGTTCAGTTTTCCCAGCACAGTGTAAATTTCTGTTCCCCAATGAATTCATATTTGTTTAATTCAGTTAAACTCATTAAACAATCAGAAATTATTAAGACCATTCGGTTATTTTACATGGCAATATATTTGTTTGTAACTCACTTTATTTTATAAATAGTTTTTGCTGTTGCTGTTGTTGATGATAACTCTTTATTCTTCATGATTGTCTTCAATAAGATGTTGTTGATGTGTGTAAATGTTGTGATTTGCAGGTGATGCTGAAGGATTGAGTGTTTTCAGAAAGCAGTGCTGATCAGTTTTCAGGGTCAGTTTAGCTGCAGTATGTCAGAGGAAAGAGGAAAGGACTCTCTCTCTCAGATGAGTCTCTCAGAGAAACACAGGTGAGACTGCGTCTGTTTCACACTCTCACTTTAAACTCCACTGGACTTTGTGTTTCCCTGTCAATAACACAACTTTAAGCATTGTTTTATAATTACAAATGCTTTGCACAACTTCAATTTTAACTTCTTAAATTAACACTGACATTGTCTATAAAGCCCTGTTTGCTCTATAGAAAATATCACAGTTAATAATTTGTTAATATCCTTCTAGATGCTGAATTAATGCAAATAAATTACTTTAGTATTTAGATCATAAAATTATTGACAGACATTAGAAAACGACTATGCACTTAATGTCAATAAATAAAAACATTGAAATGTTCTCTTACTGTAAATATTTTTTAACATGTTTAATCTCACTCATGTATATTAAAGAAATTGTTAAACTAATGTGAGCCAGTAAAATAAAATGATGGTTAACTGTAAATTGTGTGAGTGTGTGTGTGTTTCTGTGGAGGATTAGATAAAGACACAGATGTGTTTCAGACACAGTTGATCCTCCTTTACTAAAGTGTTTTCTCTCTCTCTCTGTTCTTTGTGTCATCAGTGTAAGATCAGGCTCACATGTGTCCAGCTCTGTGTTTTTGAAGAGTGATCGCTCTAAAGATGGAGGAGGACCAGACTTCAGTGAGAAAACACCATCATCTAATAAAAGGTATTTTGTGTTGCTCATTTTTTGTCACACGTTGACTGTATTTAGAAGTTGTATCAGTGAATACCAATCATGAAACATGTTTAGATCAAATATTTATCAGAGTATTCACAGCTAATGCTTATTTCTCTTTCTGTAAAATATCAGTTAGTATTTTATTTTACTAATGTGATTACAGGCTTCAATATGAGACATTAGACTCAGACCTTCAGACTCACAGGAACCACGAGAATTTCAAAGACAATCTTCTTGGGATCTTCCAGGTAGGAAAACACATTTATATAAATGTTTAATATTTCTAACAAACAAATATGTTATTGAACAAAGAAATTTAATTACAATTTTCTTCCTCTCCTTTTTTTTTCCTTTTCAACACATTTTTTGCACAACTTGGTCAGCATGTTAGTCTTTTAACTGGATTTTTTTTATGTAAAGGTATTATAATTATTTAATGAATTGTGTTGACCAAATGTAGATGTACAATTTGGCTTAAATTGTGTTATTCTTTCTTTTCTCTTACTTCTGTTTGTAGGATCTTGAGAGCAAAATAATCACATTTCTGAAGAATGAGCTGGAGAAGTTAAAGAAAATATTACAACATGAGAACACACAACACTTTGTGAAGGACTTTAATGAGAACAGATCCAGTATCAGAGAATCAGCTCTTGATCTCACACTACATTACCTGAGAGAGATGAAGCAAGATGAAGCTGCTGATGCTCTAGAAGGCAAGAGACTCGTGATCATCTGTCTGATTGTCTCTTATAAATGTAGGAGAGAAAATGAAGACTAAAACTATCTATTTTCTGTTCCTGTGTTTAGATGAGCTGTTATTCATTCATCAGCTGAAATCTGGCCTAAAGAAGAAGTATCAATGTGTGTTTGAAGGAATGGCGAAGCAAGGTGACTCCACACTCCTGAATAACATCTACACAGATCTCTACATCACTCAGGGTGGCAGTGAACAGGTCAATACTGAACATGAGGTGAGACAGATTGAAGTTGCTTCCAGACGTCATGAAGCACAAGAGATACAGGTTGAATGCACACATTTGTTTGAAGCGCCTGAACAAGACGAGGAGATCCGAACTGTACTGACAAAAGGAGTCGCTGGCATCGGGAAATCAGTCTCTGTGCAAAAGTTTGTTCTGGACTGGGCTGAAGGAAAAGAAAATCAAGATATCAGCTTCATATTTCCTCTTCCATTCAGAGAGATGAACTTAAAGGAGAAAGAAAAACTAAGTTTGATGGACCTTATAACTCAATTTTTCCCAGAGACAAAAGGACTGAACCTTACAAGAAGGAATCAGTTCAAAGTGCTGTTCATCCTTGATGGATTGGACGAATGTCGCCTTCCTCTGAAGTTTGATTGTAATGAGACGTGGCGTGATGTATCGTCACAAGCCTCTCTGGATGTTCTCCTAACGAACCTCATGAAGAGAAATCTGCTTCCTTCTGCTCTCGTCTGGATCACCAGCAGACCAGCAGCTGCCAGTAAGATTCCTCCTGACTGTATCGACCGGCTGACAGAGATACGAGGATTCAGCGACGCACAAAAGCAAGAGTACTTCAAAAAAAGATTCATGGATGAGAATCAGGCCAACACAATCATAGATCATGTTAAACAATCAAAGAGTCTCTTTATCATGTGCCACATCCCAGTCTTCTGCTGGATTTCAGCCACTGTTCTCCAGAACATTCTGGAGGAGAAGAGAAATAATGATGTGAAAAACACTCAGGCTGATGAGATCTCTAAAACACTGCAGGAATCAAACACTGAAGACACTCCCAAGACTCTGACACAAATGTACACACACTTTCTCCGCTTTCAGATCCAGCAGAGCCGCCGGAAATATGATGGAGAATACACACCAGATGTTTCCTGGGATAAAGACGCCATCCTTTCACTGGGGAAACTGGCATTTCATCAGCTGGAAAGAAACAACCTGATCTTCTATGACACAGACCTGGAAGCCTGTGGTCTTGACGTCTATAAGGCATCAGTGTACTCAGGCATGTGTACCCAGATCTTTAAGGAGGAAACAGGGATCGTTCTTGGTACCATGTACTGCTTTGTTCACTTGAGCATTCAAGAGTTTATTGCAGCCCTTTATGCACATCTGTTTCTAGACATCAACAAGACAAGTGTGTTTGATCATGAGTCTACAGAACAGGAAAACAGAAATGAAACCATGATTGATTTTCTCAAGACTGCAGTGGACAAGGCGCTGGAGAGTGACAATGGACACCTGGACCTTTTCCTTCGCTTCCTCCTCGGTCTGTCACTCCAGTCCAATCGACGACTCTTACGAGGTCTGTTGACACAGCGAGACGGCACTGACCAGAGCAACGAGGGGATAGTTCGACGACTCTTACGAGGTCTGTTGACACAGCGAGACGGCACTGACCAGAGCAACAAGGAAATAGTTCAGTACATCAAGCAGAAACTAGAAGATAATCTTCCTGCAGAGAGATCCATCAATCTGTTCTACTGTCTGAATGAACTGAACGACCAAACTCTGGTGAACGAGATTCAGACCCACCTTAGCAAAGGAAGTCTCTCATCTGGTGACCTTTCACCTGCCCAGTGGTCTGCTTTAGCCTTTGTGTTGTTGACATCAGAGGAAGAGCTGGAGGAGTTTGAGCTTCAGAAATTCAAGAAATCAGACGAGTGTCTCATTAGATTATCGGCAGTCATTAAAACCTCCAAAACAGCCCTGTAAGTCTTTTAATATATTTTGTCATGTTTAGCTCTCATCTGAAAAAAGCATTTATCTACATTACTCTATAGTGATTTCCCATCATAAACATGAAGCTATACCTGTAAAGCTTTTTTGTTTGTTTGTGTGTGTGTGTGTGTGTGTGTGTGTGTGTGTGTGTGTGTGTGTGTGTGTGTGTGTGTGTGTGTGTGTGTGTGTGTGTGTGTGTGTGTGTGTGTGTGTGTGTGTGTGTGTGTGTGGAGAGTTTATCACAACTTAAGACAAAATATAAAATACCATGGAAAAATGTTAGCATGTTTGTTTTGTATCATATGATACACCAGACTTGTAAGACTTATATAGAATTATATATATTATCACATAAATGGTAAATGGACTGCATTTATATAGCGCTTTCACAGACCCAATGGCCACCAAAGCGCTTTACAATTTGCCTCACATTCACCCATTCACTCACTCATTCATACACCGACGGGCGACGGCAGCCATGCAAGGCGCCATCCAGCTCGTCGGGAGCAGCCGGGGTTAGGTGTCTTGCTCATGGACACCTCGACACTTGGTCAGGTGGAACCGAGGATTGAACCACCAACCTTCCGGTTTGTAGACAACCAACATGAACCACTGAACCACCGCCCGTAATAATACATAATCATACTTGAGGAAGAAAAAAATGGCATATTTTATTCAAATACCCAAACTGTGGGGAAAGAATGTAATTTGGTACAATGTTATTTATATTTCCAAAAAGTAAGATGAAATTCTGAAAGGTTATAGTATAAAACATTGAGATTTTTATAAAACAGGCTACTTAAATAAAGTACATATATATTACCACATCATATATTAGTTGCTCCTCTGTTTCTCCCAGTAATTAGATATTTTAAATGGTTATTTCTATGAGTAATTCTGTAGTTTAATGTAATAACAATGTAATGCAATATGTAGATCGAGAGATTTACAAATAAACATTTATCAATTATTACATTTACCTGTTGTATCATATTTGATGTACACATCAGATGGTTTTTCTACAAAAAAAAATGTCAGCAATTGTCATGGATGCTTCTTTATTTACATTTACATTTATCAGACGCTTTTTTTTTTTACTATCTTTAAATTAATGATATATCACCCATTGGCCACACTGCTCTCAATATATTGGCATCAACCATCGGTTGACCTTAATCTTGAAGTATTAAAAAAAAATGCAATTTCTTAGGTTCGTAGGTTTAAGTAATCTTAGCTTTACTTAAATCATTAAATATTTTATGTCAAAAAGACATGTACATGTGAATGGAGGCAGTTTTAGTATTATAGTGAAAGGCCTTTAACTTGCCATAAAGTGTGAACTGTCTCATATACAGGTCCTTCTCAAAAAATTAGCATATTGTGATAAAGTTCATTATTTTCCATAATGTAATGATACAAATTAAACTTTCATATATTTTAGATTCATTGCACACCAACTGAAATATTTCAGGTCTTTTATTGTTTTACAGTTTTTCTCAATTGCTAAAACACTAAAACCCATTGGCTGAACAAAGTTCTCAGTTGCCTGAACTCATTTAGCTAATTGTGCAGTCTGTTGTCAATACCTTAAACTATTTCACATGGCAAAACACAATTTGCAGATCTTACTTAGACTTTTCAGCAAAACGCTAAACACATTCTCATTCTCAAAACATATTCTGCACTGTAATGCACACATCATCCATACTGGTAAACACAAGTGGCAATGATCAAATACAAATAGAGAACAAATGTCATTGATTGAACACAACCACTCAAAATTGATTTAACCTGTTTCAAATGATGCCCAAAGACAAGAAGAAGCACACTGATCACGTTTACTCCTTTGATTTTTGTCCCTTTTAGTATTGTATACTGTAGTACAGTGCATTGTAGGCTGTATACTGTACAATGAACAAATTATATGGCCCCGAACATCGTTACTGTAACAGTACCATTTGTTACAGTACTGAATGCTCAATAGATTTTACTGGTTGCACTTGCAGGTTCATATCAACAAAGAACAAGCATTACAGTATCAAACAATAGAACTGACAAATGAGACGTTTGTGAGATGCAGGGCACTGTACTGTAAAAATAGGGGTACAAGGAGGAAGAACAAATAAAATTGCAAAGAGCAAAGCAGAGTAGTAATTTCTGATCAATTTTGCGCTACTATGATGTTTTTATTCATCAAAAGACAATGACGGACAAATATGAAATTTGTTTTAAGATTAAAAATGTACTTCTCCCTGAAATTTTGATGGTACAGTAATGTGTCACGGGTAAGTCTACAAACAGAATAGCCGTCAGTAGATATCTTTCGAGAACTGTATGTTTTGAACAATGTGTTTTCTATTTTTTGGTGTATTGTTTACTGACTGCTTGATAGTGTATATCATTTTGATCACTTTGTCTATGATTTGAGAGCAGTGTTTGATTTTGAACACAAGTAAAACTGTTTTGAGGCGAAAGTTTCATTTTGCAAGAAGAGTCAGAGGTTTTGTAAATAGTGCTTGAAGATGAGGTTTTGTGTTTAATGTTTTCAGAAAAAGGAGCAAGGATTCAGAAATTGTGTTTTAGCAATTGAGAAAAACTGTAATACTGATGATTTTGGCATACAGCTCATGAAAACCCAAAATTCCTGTCTAAAAAATGTGCATATTTTCTCTGACCAATAAAAGAAGTGTTTTTAATACAAAAAAAAAGTCATCCTTCAAATAATTATGTTCAGTTATGCACTCAATAGTCAATACTTGGTCGGGAATCCTTTTGCAGAAATGACTGCTTCAATGCGGAGTGGCATGGAGGCAATCAGCCTGTGGAGTTATGGAGGCCCAGGATGCTTCGATAGCGGCCTTAAGCTCATCCAGAGTGTTGGGTCTTGCGTCTCTCAACTTTCTCTTCACAATATCCCACAGATTTTCTATGGGGTTAGTAAACCATTTACCAGTGGTTTTGGCACTGTGAGCAGGTGCCAGGTTGTGCTGAAAAATGAAATCTTCATCTCCATAAAGCTTTTCAGCAGATGGAAGCATGAAGTGCTCCAAAATCTCCTGATAGCTAGCTGCATTGACCCTGCCCTTGATAAAACACAGTGCACCAACACCAGCAGCTGACATGGCACCCCAGACCATCACTGACTGTGGGTACTTGACACTGGACTTCAGGCATTTTGGCATTTCCTTCTCCCCAGTTTTCCTCCAGACTCTGGCACCTTGATTTCCGAATGACATGCAAAACTGAGCAACAGTCCAGTGCTACTTCTCTGTAGCCCAGGTCAGGCGCTTCTGCCACTGTTTCTGGTTCAAAAGTGGCTTGACCTGGGGAATGCGGCACCTTTAGCCCATTTCCTGCACACGCCTGTGCACGGTGGCTCTGGATGTTTCTACTCCAGACTCAGTCCACTGCTTCCGCAGGTCCCCCAAGGTCTGGAATCGGTCCTTCTACACAATCTTCCTCAGGGTCCGGTCACCTCTTCTCGTTGTGCAGCGTTTTTTGCCTCACTTTTTCCTTCCCACAGACTTCCCACTGAGGTGCCTTGATACACCACTCTGGGAACAGCCTATTTGTTCAGAAATTTCTTTCTGTGTCTTACCCTCTTGCTTGAGGGTGTCAATGATGGCCTTCTGGACAGCAGTCAGGTCGGCAGTCTTACCCATGATTGCGGTTTTGAGTAATGAAATGGAATGAGTAATGAGTTTTTAAAAGCCTCAGGAATCTTTTGCAGGTGTTTAGAGTTAATTAGTTGATTCAGATGATTAGGTTAATAGCTCGTTTAGAGACCCTTTTCATGATATGCTAATTTTTTGAGATAGGAATTTTGGGTTTTCATGAGCTGTATGCCAAAATCATCAGTATTAAAACAATAAAAGACCTGAAATATTTCAGTTGTTGTGCAATGAATCTAAAATATATGAAAGTTTAATTTTTATCATTACATTATGGAAAATAATGAACTTTATCACAATATGCTAATTTTTTGAGAAGGACCTGTAATGGTGTCAGTGCAGTCAAGTCAATAATATTGTTGAATATTAAGTGTCCCCAACTTAGCAAGACAGAGGCAACACTGGCAAGAACCTAAACTCCATCAGGTGACATAAATAGAGAAAAAATCCTATAGCTATAACAGCTTTACACAAATATTTTTTCAAACATGCTTCATTTTATGTCAATGAATAAAAAACACTAATGTACAAGAAGTATTAGTTTTTGAAGGTAAATGTTAGTTTAACTCAGCCTCTTTGCTGTATATGCTGTTTATGTAAAAAATAAATGGAAAATGTATTGTATGTGTTCCATCTAATTCTGTGTTGTGACTTTATTGTAGGTTAAATGATTGTAACTTAACAGACAAAAGCTGTTCAGCTCTGGCTGCAGTTCTTGGATCAGATAATAATCTGAAAGAGCTGAACATGAACAATAATAATCTGCAGGATTCAGGAGTGAAGCTGATCTGCACTGGACTGAAGAATATAAAGTGTAAATTGGAGATACTGAGGTAAGTGTAAATTGGAGATACTGAGGTAAGTTGAGCCACAGGAGTCACGTGACTAGTGTAAGGATTCAGGGCGGATCTAATCCGTGGGGAATTTGCATAAATTAATTAATAATTGGTAATTAATAATTATTCATACATGTTTGGATTAGATCAATCTTACATTGAATTTACTCTCCCTCTAAGGGAGGATCTATCATTTTACCTGCATGCATACGTGTATCCTTGCATTTTAACTACAAGTTGATTGCATAGATCACGTTTTACAGACAGGTAAAATTTAATTAGCTCAATTGTCAGATTAATATTGGGGGAATCCCACATATCATCTTACTTCATAGGATTTCAGGAAACGCAATTCTCTGGCCAGAAGAACTGGGTTTTCTGCCCTATAAACACATACTCTTTAAAGTATTTTTAATTTATAAAGCCGTAGCTTGATCTATTCATTTCAGAGACCTGGAGTATGAGCAGACACAGTAACATCAATCAA